TTTTAGTAAGCAGAGAATGAAACACAAAAAACCAAACTCAATGCTTCTGCTGCTGACACCCCACAAGTGTGGGTCCTTTAAGCCACAATCCCTCTTCAGCTGGCTAGGCTTCACTCCCGGGGTCCATTAATTGTCCTCATTAATATGAGAAAATGCCCCCGTGGGGCTACACAGTCTCCTGATCCACATTGCCGGTAAAACTCAAAAGAAGAAAGAAACTTTCCTGTATATGCAGGTTTCCCTCCTCAGTCCACAAGCTTCAGGCTTTTAACCCTCACTGCTGCTGTGACTGACAGGCAGCAGCACTCACAGAGCTCCTCCGAGCTCACAGACCATCCCGGTGTCAAGCTCTGTTCCTGGGGAATAGCCTCTTCGCTCCCACCCAGAGCTCCCGTCCCACCAGTGTTGTCTCTCCTCCCCACTCTCCTTCCCCGGGGAAAACTCCCTGCTGGAAGTAGCCCCAGAGCACCAGGAGGAGCAAATGCGATGCACTTGACGCTCTGGTAAATTCAGTCTCGGACATGTCGGGAGTTCCCTCCTCAGCGTCGCTGTCACTGAACTCTCCGGTAAACCCCGGCCGGGATCATCTTTTTCCTCCTGAAGAGGCACCACCAGCCTCTTCACAGCAACCAAAATGCAGTAGTAAGAACAACACACATTTAAATATCTACAGGGTGGCATGGCTATTTTCAGTCAGACCAGTAGTATCAGAAAATGAAACTTTGTTCTAATGTTTAAAATGTTGTTCAATATATACTCGAAAGCCAGATCCTTAGGACTGACCTTTTGAGGCCTGGGATTGGGACCGTATGGACTGGGGACTGCATTTGGGATTGGGACCATATGATGACCTCTGAGGATCTGTTAGTTTAAGAATAGCATTCCTGTATTCATGCATGGGGTCGGACCTGATGATCCTTGAGGTCTCTTCTACCTCTGTCATTTTATGGTTTTATGACCCCATTGTAAGTGAGACGTGAAGAGCAACTCTACGTATCTTCATGGCTGCTCTAAGTTTTGCCTACTGTAATGACCCCTCAGAGGCCTTCTGACAACTGGGAATCACCAGCTTTTGACAGTGTTGTAGCCATACCACTTCCTTTCACCCATGCCTCCCCTGGGGAGACGATGATAGATGCCAGCCAGGATGTGGGGTGGCTGAGAAGCCATAATGGTGCTGCATCTTAGCTGGGGATCCCCTGCTGTGTAAAAAAATCCAGTGGCAGCACTTTTCACAGGACAGGGTACCAGGCAGTTCATAAAATTTGTTCACAAAAATAAGACAGAAATGTCTCATGTTTCCACACTCTCTAACTAGCAAGTATATTCTTACTGGGACAGGAAATGAATGTGTGCTGTGAAGGGTCTGAGTTCTGGGTGAGGATCCAACAGATGAAGAGTTTGGTTGCAATGATCAGTTAAAAATGGGGGGGAAGGGAGAGATGAGATTCCTTCTGAATGGGACCCATTAAGATCCGTTGTAACTTACTATTTTAGCCTAACATCCTGGTAATGTATTCATTTGAAAGCAGTCACTGCTGCTTCTGGAGGTGCTACAGAACTTGCAAGTGGCAGGCGCTTCCATTTAAAATTACCTGTTCCTTTTCTCAGCAACCGCCATAGGTCACAGCTGCGCCATCACCTGAAAAGATCAAATTTGTCTTTGCTGAAGAACATCCCATTTTCCAAACCAGAGTTTAATACCACCTGAGTGCCATGCATCAACCCTGAAGTTTCCACTTTCACAAAGTGAATTGATTTATTCGTTTCATTGCTCAGAACAAGGGCTCAGGACAGCTCCCTTTCTATTGGCCATACATTCAGTGTAAGGTGGCACTGGCAGGGTGATTTTTCAGCTTCCTGCTGGTTAGATAGCCTTCAGCTGTTTCTGTGTAGCAAAGGTTGATAACAGGGCCGGGGAATGACAACGGTGAGGCTGTGTCACAGTGATATAGATCCACCATTCATTGGCTGCCCTCTGAATGGGGTTACAAGCACGAGACCATATCTGGAAGCTCGAAGCTATGTAGTGATGATAAACTTTTTTTCTGCTCCACATCCTGTGAAAAGGAGACTTCTACTGTTTCCTGCTTCCCCTTCCATTCTCCTCATCCATGTTCAGGGCACCAGTAGAGCAGCCACCCTGAGAATGCAGTTAGGCCTTTGGTAAATTATTAGACCAACCCCATATTCACCATGAATTCTGGAGTTTACACATATGGAAAAAAAATTACAGAGAAGGAAGAATTGTTCTGTGTATGCTGTTCTGGGCCTTCAGACAGGTGGGATTGTGGGTTAGTAACTTTGAGGTTGAGAAATTGATTCCCGTGTCCTGGAAATATTTCAGAAGAGCCCCAGGAACCACTGGCAGGCTCTTTGCCTTCTGTTGTGTCCATGCTTTATCATCGCCCTGTGGGCTGTCCTTCTTTGCAAAGGAATGCAAATGAAGGGAAAGCTGCTCCTGCTGCCTAGTAAGGTTACAAATACATAATGCTGCTCCTGGTCTTGAGGTGCAAATTCCAGAAGTGCACCTTGCTTGCTGCAGATGTGGGTCAGATATTTCCACAGGGCACTTGCTGCTTCCAGAACCAAATGGTTAATGTTCACATAATTCACTGGATACACACTTAGCAACACACAATTATGGAGCGCGACCTGAAATGAGAGGAGATCACATGAATCCAGATCCAAGCACAGTAATGGTGCAACACAGCTTTATTTGTTCAAATGCTCTAGCCCAGATCCTGGCTCACCTTTCATGTCCCTTTTGTACACCTGGAATAAATGCCAAGGGGCATTAAACTGGGCATAACAGAAGTATCCTCCACTGGCATAAGCAGACATAGCTGCCTCTGTTTCTGTGCAGCATATATGTCAGGAGCTAGGGTGAGCGTGGCAGGGATGATGTAAGGTACACTGCAGAAATCATGGGCAGCCAAATGGTCCCTGGAATGGCCTCTGTTGCAAGCCAGTGAAACTTCAAATAGCTTGTAGGCTACTCTAAACTGTGCTATTGTCTAGGTGACCATTGGGCAGGGAAGGGAGGAAGAACCGGACAGAGCTATCTTTGTCTGCCTGCAAGAGTTTCACTGGAAAATACTTATCATATTGGTTAGGAAAAGATATTACACATAAACCAGTTTAAGTGATCAGAAACTGGTTTAAACCTGTAACAGAGCAGATGTTCAGTGCGCATAAACCAGTTTGAAAATGACTGAAACCGGTTTGAGATAAACCTGGTTGAATGTAGTATTAGACTTAACTGATTTGGCTCAAACTGGTTTATGCAATGTCTGTCCTAGACATTGGACAGACCCCTTCCTGGTTTAACTTAAACGAGAGTCCCCCATCATACCAGCTGCTTTGCAGCCCTGGGCGGGGCTGTCTGCTTCAGAGTAGGGCTGGCCCCACCCCTCTGCTCCCTAGCTGGAGCTCCAGAGGAGTCTTGCAGGCACAGCAGCGTCTGCCTGACTTCCTCTCCCCCTTCCTCCCTCCCTCCCTGCTCCAGCATGGACCAGAGCCAGCATGTAGTATGCTAGTTAATGCTGAGAAATGTCTGTGTAAGGCAGACAGGACAGTGTCCACTTAGGGCTTTTGGGAGCTAACCAACAGGTCAGCTGGTAATGTCCCTCCATTTCTTCCTTGGAAAAAGTTGTTTAAGAAGAGCTTGAACTAATGAGAGAGGCTTCTGTTTTCTTGATGGGATGCTAAATGCTTTGTTATCAATTCCCTGCTGGCTCCCCCTCTGGTCAGGAACAGCGAGGGTGGGGAGGGAACCCCTCTCTAATCAAAGCGTCCTGCTGGGGCCTGGTCATGCCCTCTTCTCAGCTCAGCACTGTAAAAGGGAAGGGAGGGCTGCTCCAGTGCCCCCCAGCTTCTAGGCTGACCAACTGCATGCATGCACCGGCATTTCTTCAGTCCAGAGGGAATATCTGTACTGTTGCAAACTGGTTCAGCCTAGCCAGGTTAAACTGACCTGCAAAGATTTAATGAATTCAGGCTCAGGCTTTTTGAATGTCTGTCCCTAGCTATTATGCCTGCTTCCACTGTCACTTGCTCTGGTATAAATAATGAATGACTCTTAAATCAATGGCATTACATTAACATAAAACAAATGCAAGTAAAAGGAAACTCGGTTCTTTCTCACTATTTGACACGTAATTTTTGGCTGAGATTTAGCCATAAACCTCTTAGCAAGCAAAAAGTAAATAGCATGCACGGCAAACAATCATCAGTAATCAAAACTATCAAAGGAGAACACACTTATTGATGTGTGAAATATCTCAGCCATCAGTCAAACTGGTCTTGCAGTACCAGGGATATAGGCAGCGCTTGGGCTAATGCTTCTGTAATTTTCAGAGTCAGTCATTCAGTTTTAGGACTTCAGGTTTAGAGTTAACTATAGCAATGTTCCATTGGGCTGCATTTTAATATAGCTGATTGCATGTATGAGCGATCAGCGTGTTCCATAAAGTCAGAGAGATGATGTTTTCCCCATTAGCTTAACACAATCTCAGCCCAAGTAAGTCTCAAGCTGTGAGAAACACATTTTTAGATGCTGTAAACCAAGGTTAGACATTTCACACTGTAATCAGAACTGGCATCTTCCAGTGAGCTCCTTTACTATTCAAAAGCAGAACTGATTGTATAGTAACAAGGCTGATAGCATGAAAGAACAATTTCTCTAGCAGAAGATTTTCTGGGGTACTCAGATAACCTGTTAAAGAAGTGTAGACAAGACTCAAACCTAGGCAACATCTCCCATGGCCTCCCAAATGAATACTGAACCCATATCACCTCTTATTTGACGCAGTGCCTCCCTGTCATTTTGCACTCAGCACAGTAATCTGATAGATACTCCTCTTCAAACATTATCCAGATTCATCAGTCCCTGCCTCTTGCATCACATGCATACTACAACACCTAAAGCAAGTTACTAATTAGGTGCCCAATCTTGCATTTAATCAGGAGCCTCTATCCAGCTAATGGTTCTCATTGCAGGATTATGGCCTAGTGAGATGTCTATATGGAAAAAGCCAGGTTTGTGGGCTACTTTTTTTTTAAAACAAACTTTCATGAATATAGATCTGTGCTGCATCTCCTATGAACTAGATCTTTTTAATAATTCAAGCTGATTTTAAGTATTTTTTTATTCTAAAAAGTACTAAAAAGATAGGCTGACCACTAAATTAGCAGAGTGCTTCCTGCAAATTACAGATTTTAACAGCACTAGTCACAGTTATTGAGATACCCAGAGAGAATCCAAATAATGAAGTGAAACAATTTAAAAAAAACCTCAAAGACAATAAGTTCAGAAATGCCGCTGGCTTTTTGTGTTATGAAATGATGGAGCAGGCATATACTCCAACAGTTGATAAATGTGACTTGTAGATCAGGCCCCTCTGTTTTAGCACATATTATTATTTTCTCATACTTGATTTTGGAAAAATATTTTCAATAGAGTCAACTATTTACAGACAAGATAAAAATAAGGGTCCTAACCATGTCACCTTGCTAACTCTTGCAATTTTATCACAGATCTCACAATCCTTTTGTCCCAGCTTTTGGAGTCTGGTGATTTTGAAAGAATTTGTACGTTGATTTCTATGCCTCTCCCCCAAAGTTAAGTTTTTAGCTTTTATGACTGTGGAGAAAATATAAAAATATCACCCAAGCACACCATTAAAGGATCAGGAAGACAAAACAAACAGAAAGAAACCCTGGTGCGTTAAAGTAAAAACCTGAGACATTTTAAAAACAATCTCATGATTCTTGTAGTGTGATGCATCATCTTTTTATGATTGCTTGGGGTTGTCAATACTGATTTTGTATTATATCAGGTAGGGATTTCCTTGGGCATTTTATCAGTGCTTCTCTTTATTTCATGTTAAAGTTCATATGCTAATCAGGAGTGTGATGTAATCATTGACCTGTGAAGAGGAAACAACCAGCATAAGCCACCTTACCCTATAAGTTACAGCACCAAAACTAGGACTTGGGTAAGCACTTCTTCAATATCATTGTTAAATAACAATAATGGGGGAGACAAGACCCTAGTCACCAGCTGGGCAGAGACCCTCACCATCCTTCTCAAGCTATGCAGATAGAAGGGGGGAGCTGACCCCATTCACCTGAGACCCTCTACTCACTCTGCTCTCAGAACTATGCCAGTGACTGGCTCTTGTATCAGCAGCTACTTGTACTCTAGTCCCTGTGTATCCAGCCACTCTGTCAGTCAGTCTGGCTGGAACCATTGGGTCTACCTCCAGAAATCAACAGACTCATGATATGTCCTCATCTTTGTTTTTAACAGGGTGAGGACATGTTCAGTTGTGAATTTTAATGGGAAATATAATTTCAAATCCAGGCCTTGCAGTCATTCAAAGGTTTGTAGTCTTAGGTTAATATACTTTTCTCTTGATCTCTCTCACCTCTTCTCTCTATATGACTTTTAATAATAACACTAAAGTTATTTGAAAATAATCTGAATGGCAGAGGCAGGTAAGTGTTTGCAAGCTGGGCATTGCATGCATCTGGGTTGGTTATTTAATCCTTCCTTTATTCATCTCTGTGTCCCACAGCCTCATCAGGCAGCAATGTGTCACAACATTACACACCGCAAATTAAGCATCACATCAAGCTGTTTGCTGTCTGAGATGTACGAGAAATATATTTTGGCAATGCACACAAGCACCAAAGCGCAGAGACTTAAGTGTCTATGGGCACAAAGGTTTGGTCCAAATTGTAGACTCGAGGCCAGCTCCTCTGATGTGGTGACAAAGGGTATTGTGCACTAGTGCCTGTGCTCTTCTTTGATCACCGTGCTGTCCTTTTTCAGGCTGGTACCTATGAACTTTGTGAGAGCAGCTTGAGATCCATGTTTATCTTGCTCCCACGCACAAGTGCTGCCATGCTTAAGAGTTTCTCCATTTCTTGTTTGCTAAATTATCCCTTCCCCTCCCTGACTGTAATCCAACACCTACATTTGAGGCATCAGAGGGAAAGATACTCACAGAGGATATACAGTAAAGAGAAGGCAGAAGACAATCTGCTGTAGTATACAGTGCATAATTCCCTATCAATGCATCAGCAAACACAGATTCCATGGCAGCTAGCCTGACAGATGGGTAATTGGAGCTATGTGCTTGTATTCTGTGATGCATGGCAATGTCTCCTATTTTTTAAACAACACAGAAGTAACCTGGATGATATGTCTTTGCTTGTTTATTATTGCATTGGGCCTGCTGCTCTTGATGCTGATATAGCTAAAATTTGGGGCAAATAGACACCATGTAGCATCCATGGCTAATCCTCATTCCTACCCCAGAAAACTACCTAACCACTCTTCTGGGCACTCCTCTGCTCAGCTTTTCCAGTACATCAGTCCCATGAAATTCCCATCAGCACCTAGAAACAGACAACTGGGTCCAAATACAGTCAGGCACTTCGGTCTTCAACTGGTATGAACTGGGATGGTTCTATACAAAGATTTCCATGTGTCAGCATGATGAAGGAATGATGACTGTTGCACTCCTTTCAAGACCGCTTTGAATCCTTGGATAACAATGACCATCTTTCATTCTGTGCCTGCAATGCTCCCCAAAGTGTTGGAGCAGATGAGTACGGGGTCCAATCAGGGACACTTTAAATCTTTAAATCAGTCATGCCCTGCTGCTTGTGGTTAGTGGCTGGATTTCTGCCACCACTTGGGCAAAGCTGAGAGAGGGTCTGGCCTTGGGCAGACACCCAGAAAATTAGATTGTTGCTGAAAGCAGGTAACCATGTTCTGATGAGATTAGTCTGGACTGCAGTGTGAGGTCAGATAGCTGCACTCTGAATCCGTGCTCTGCAACCACAAACTCCCTTCCAGGGCTGGGTTTTTTTTTCCTTAAGTTTTTCCCAAACTGTCACTTCAGACAATCTGCCTCTAATGTCGCCTTTTCAAGTAATTTCCCTTGTTGCTTTCACTGACATGAGTTTAGCCCTGCTCGGGAAGTGAACTGGGGATACGTTTAATATGAAAAGAGAGATTCAAGGTAATCAAACACCTGCTCCCACTAAAACAAAGCCTTTCCTCTTCACAGATTATTGCGCACTGATGAGGGGAAAGGAAGTCACATAGACTCTTTAATGCATATAATGGGCCACTTTTTCAAATGGTCAAATCTCCCTAGCACCTTGGAAAATAATGATGATGATGATAATGAATAATACTTTGTTCTTATATTGTGCACAGATATGGAAATACTTTTGCAAACATTTCATATGCTAAAGCCTCCCAGAACCCTTTTTGTGCCTGGCTGAGTATTATCCCTTTCTGTCAAATAGATACAGCTCAGCATGCAGAGGAGAAGGTCAGGCATTTCAAAAGCAGTTGTCTTTGTTTTTCTCTTTGGGTGCCTAGCTGGAGACAGCTATGGTCTGATTTTCAGTGGTTTGGAGGTCTCCCCTCCCCTCCCCGCC